GCACAGTATGTCAATTAAACTTGTTTCACCACAACACTGGAGTACTGACACTGTGGAGAAGTCTCCAATTCTCTGAACACAATTTTGCAACGACGGTCGTCACAGGTGAGCTGTGAACAGACTGCTCTCTCGATTCCACCCGGGGTATTATTTTTTGTTTTAACCACAGCGGTTCCCATGATCTCCGCTGCTGATGCACGCGCACACACACACACACACAGACAGAGGAGAGCCGAGTCAAAGACAGAATCACCTGGAGATTGCTGGAAATGAGGGTTACTCTCTGGGTTACACCTTCCCCTAGCAAGCAAGGCAGAGTTTAGTAAAAGATACAAAGATAAACGTGTGGGCCCTGCGATTGTTGGCGCACACCACTGCTGGCAGGAGGAGCCCGCAAAAGCCCCCTCTGGGAAGAGGTGCGACTACCACCACACTTTGCCCCACCACATGTGACCTGCGGGATCGACAAACTGCAACGTGCCCACTTGCTCTGCGGGCAGGACAGAGGCGATGGGAGCGGTGTAAGAAAACTTTCCGCGCCGGGATATCGAAAAACGGCGACCACTGATCGCATCGCCTTGCCCAGTGTGCAATCCCCAATACACCGTGGCAGCTTTCACTGAGCGTTGAATAGACCAGCGGGGAGCACGGCTCACTCGTGCCAAGCTCTATATTTACGATGTTTAAGTGCTTTTTCTGGAGTAGGAATAATAATTTAACAAATGAGCTTTGAAGTTTTTTTCACGTTAGGTTTGCCAAAATGACAAGGCAAGATGATATTTCATACACACACAAGAGATCAGTTGCTATTAACTAGTAACTATTTTTTATTTTACCAAGTGAGGCTCACCGAGCCTCTACAGCTCTTTTTCAGAAGCGACCTGGCCACAAATGACAAGCTGAACGAAGTGGCTTATCACGTGGGAATGCATCGCAGCCAAATACTCTAAACGCACGTTTCTAAACATGGAGGGAAAAACCGGAGGACCCGGAGAAAAATCCACGCGACCACGGGCAGTGCATGCAAACTCCAAATATATAAACGCGAGGGTCGGGATTGAACCCACGACCCCCCCTGTACACCAGGCGAGGTAGTCAACATTTCATAGCCACCGTGGCGCTCACTTACGCTATGCGTGACGATGAACTCAATGTTATTCTGAATGCAGTGGATGATTGTTATTTTTAAATTTATTCCCACGCGCCACCTTTGTCCGTCCGGCAGTGTAACGGGTTGGCACCGGTTAGTCAAACAGCAGGTTTTGCGTGCGATGGGGTAAAGTGTGGGGGTACCCTCCAGGGGCGCAATGACCTTTTTAAATGGGGGGCTATGCAAGATACGACTGTGGGCTCCACCCCCCCACCCCTCTCCCACATCACCTCCCTCCTTTCTCCCGACTCGCTTTTACTGAAATAGCTAGGGATATTTTTAACCCCGTATATACTATAATATGTAGGCTATAACTATATATTATTTGAGTTGAACGGGTGTATTGGGTTTAGATGAAGACAGTCCCACAGTGACAGCATTAATAAAAACTAATATTTAAAAGGTACAATACTCACAGTTAAGTTATTGTGCGTCGTGCTTTCATGCCGGGCCACTATCACTCTAGGATTTCCTCAAAGGGGGGGGGGGGGGGGGGGGGGGGGGGGGGGATCGCGCAACCAGATGCTGCTCTATTGATACGATCGCCAGACGCGTTAATCACCGGGCATGATGCATCATAGACGGCGGGTATTTTTTTTACAAATACATTACAAACAAATCTATACATTTGTTTACTTCTTTATCTGTTGATTGGGGGCCCACCCCTTGTGGCCGACTTGGGCCCTATGCGTCACATAACGCTGTCACATAACCCTTTACACCCCCCCCCCCCCCCCCCCTCATAGTTGCGCCCTCCCGGGTACCAAGCTGTCTGGCCAGTGTGGAGGAGCAGGCCAAATATGCTGGAGGAGGGAGGCGCTCACGAGAGATTCCTCAAGCAGTGGTGCGAGCAAGCTGGTTGCCGTGGTCGCGCTAACACCGTTTACCGATCCTTGAAATCCGCACACGAGGAACGAGCGAGAAAGTTAAAGCGACGTCTTCAATTATGAAGTTTACCGATCCTTGAAATCCACACACGAGGAACGAGCGAGAAAGTTAAAGCGACGTCTTCAATTATGAGATAACAAACATTGCAGATTAGCTTCACATTCCACCGCCTGTCAGATTAACATTTTACCGTCGTGTTTCTGTATTTAACTGGTTAAGTTCTCATTGAGATAACAGCATCTCCTTTGAAAGAGATTTGGGTTGCCGTGTTTACTCGGCAAGTTACTCATTCGTTTCACAATCGAGTCATATTACTAGCATGCTTGTCTTCGCCTGCCAGCGATATCAGATTTCTAACACTCACTTTTACAGGATGGTCCGTGGATTGGTAGTTCCCTGTGGCTCATTGAAATAATCACTATCATCATCGTCGTCGTCATCTGCCATGATTACTGCATTGCTGGATTAAGGCCTCCACAATCTTTTGCCATCTCTCATAAGTCTTGCGATGCCAGCGGTCCATCCAGCACCCGCACACGTGAGCTGGATGACTGCGGTCACCCACTGTATACGCATGTCAAACTTCTGTCGCGCCGTACGTAGCCAGCTTGCACGAATTGGAGGTGCGCACACTGGAATGTCAGCTTGGCGAAAAACCGGCTAAAGTTGTGCAAGGAGATGATCAACCAGAGGACATATTTATGGACTCGCTGCACCCGTAACCTCAGAGACATTTCCCGAAAACGTTCGTTAGCCGCCGTTTTCACGAGACCCACAAAACGACGAAGAGCGCCGCACATTTAAAAATAGCCCCGATGTTCCTTCGGACTAAACTGACAGGCTCTTTAAAATTAATCTTCAGCTCTCAGTGCTTAAAAGCAGCCGGGACAGACAGACAGACAGAAGTGCAGCCTGTGGCCTGCTTTCGGTCTCTAAGCAGGTAAAAAAAAGAGGAGGAGGACATGCGGAGGGGTGGGGGGGGGAGGTGTGTGTGGAAGGAGGAGCAGGGCAGCGAGGGCGGCAGGATTCAAGGACAGGGGATTGATGCCTCAAGGGCGCGTGGGGGCGCGGAGGAACGGCGGAGAGAGAGGGGAGAGCGGTACCCCGAGCGCGAGCTCTTAATCCCGGCACGCCGCTTCTCCACCAGCTTAGCCGCCGCGTTCGTGCCCAGGGGTTTTTTTTTTCTCCCCATGATAATGGAAAAACACCACGTGGAGAATACGGGTGGGGGGGGGGGGGAATGATGAAATAACGTCAGATCTGTTGTCGATTCAGTTACCAGAGTCGCTCCCGTTAAGTTTATTTTGTTTGCCATGCCCTCCCGGAGTAAATCGCAGAACCTCCCTGCACGTGGGCCCACACTCTTTGGAGCAAGAGCACCATTTTGAAAAAGAGATATACACACGAAGAAGAGTTGCAAACTAAACCTAAGCCGTTGAACAGCCTTTATATTTTACGATAATCACCCCGAGCCGGACTGCTAAACCCGCCTTAAGCAAAGCCGCGTTCCAACCGCACGGCGTCCAACAACATCACTGACGCACAACCGTTCGCGGATCCTTCTTCAAACCCCATCACCATCACCCGTCATCGCCGCCATCACCGTCTTCCACTGCATCAGGGAACGTAGGCCACCGGAGGGCCACAACACACCTCGCTGTAAATCAACTGCAACACCAGACCTTATTTCCGGGGCTTTTCCTTGAAGGTTACCGACAATAACCCCCCCCACCCCCCCCGCCGCTCCCTCCTCACAAATCCGCCTTAACGAGATTTGCTCCAGCTGCTCAGTGGCTAACCCAGTCTCCGTGCTTTGGCCGTCAGGGCACCCCTTTCCTTACCCGGTCTGTTTTTCGGTACAGATCTTGAGAGAGAGAAAAACAACAACAACAACAACCCCCCACGGACCCACTGGCCTTCACCAAACTCGCAGCGGCACAGGGGCCCAAGCGACCCCGCCGGTTGTCCGGCGGGGCAGAGTCGGCGGCGGCTCGCTGGCGGACGGTCAAGGCGTGCGCGTGGCGGACGTGCGAGAGTGCTTGGGCTCGCGCCACCGCTGGCGGAAGGCCTCCCACGAGAGGGAGCTGGGGAGGGGGGGTGCTCCCTCAAAAGGGCATTCTGGCCTACGCTTCCGCACTGGGTCAGACGCCTTGGAGCACCCCCAGACTTTGCCTCGCCACCACGCAACCTGCCGATCGACTAAACTGTAGTGTATACTGCTGGGTGGACAGACGGGGGGGGGGGGGGGGAGGGGGTGCATGATTCTAATCGACTCAATCCCCAGTCAGTGGTCGAGTCGGCCATTCATCCCCGAGGCGGTTGATAGAATGCGGCCCACCTTTTGGGTAGTCGAGTCGTGGGTTGTGCGAAGGAGCGACTGGCAACTGACGAAGGAAGGCGACTGGGCACGGGGTGCAGTGGTTATCGTGATGGCCTAGAACCCCCAACGAGCGGGGAGTGGGGAGCCATTCCTGGCTACACACAACCGTTTGGCTACGTTCGATTACGAAAGAAGTTCAACAAACACACATACGTAAGTGGCGAGCGGGATCTCAGCGTGTCCTGCGTCTCTGCAAGGCCGACTCGCCTTAAAGGAACACGGCATTCCCATGTTAATCGCGAACTTGCGATCCGCAATTTGGAACTCCATACGACAGAGAAAGTGACGAGATAAAGTGATGAGGTAAAGTAACTTTAAAAAGATTGGTTTTTCTTAGGCCAATATCATTATCCGCGAAAAGTGTGCTATTCACGAGCATCCCCGGAACAAATCCCTCACGGATAACGAGGGAAACGCTGTACCTGGTGCGGTGGTGTGAACAACAGCAACCAAGAGGGCAAAAAATTCCGCGGGCCTGGTGCTGGCCACTACCACCACCCCCTTGCGCTCCGTGCTGGCCCTCTTTAGCAGGCGCTTTTTGAGCAGAGTTCTCATGCCACTCACACCGACAGTCCGTCTCACCTGCTTGTGAGGGCCTCTGAGAACGTGAGCGCGAGCTCCCTCGCACGCCGTCCTAATCGCCTCCATGGAGGGAGTGCCGAGCAGGTCCGTGATGAGGTCCAGCTGGGGGCGACAAGACATCGACGCGGAATCACCACCGCCATCGTCGTTGTCAGCGTCGTTGTCAGCGTCGCGATCGCTGAGGCCACGACAATGTCACCATCGCCATCGTCATCATCAACACCCCTTGCAACGCCGTTTCCCGACTCCAATCTTCGTGACCCTGCCAGGACTTTTCTGGGGTTGCCAGGATTGGAAATCCTGAGAGTTCGGAAATCGCGATAATTCATTATGTCGCCGGGGAGGGCAGGCGAAGTGATTACAGCCCTATAAATCGCCCTCACGTGACAGCCAGAAAATACATCGGGGACCATTGGCATTTGTCGCGGCTAACCGCCACAGACCCGAAAGCCCGTTTTCGTCTGCGTAGCTGTCAGGGGCAGTGCCGCATCCTTGTCACCCAAGCTATGATGACGACGATCCCCAAGCTGCACCACATTTACCCGGAACAGAAGCAGCCAGGCCAGAGCAGTTCTAGGCCAGACGCTTAATTGGCCATCGTGATTGCATTACCTGCAAATAGTGTTTGGACGATGGATGCTACCGCTGAATACGACAACGCCGTCGATTATTCTGTTGACGCTGCCGATAACGACGCCAGTGAAGATGCTGTTACTGCTGCTCCACAGACAATGCCGCAGGCGCTACTTCTGCCGCTGCCGATGCTAACAACGGTGGAGACATTGCCGCCGCTGCCGCCTTAGCAAAGTGCAGGGGGCGGCCAGTTTCTTTCACTCCCAATGTCAACGGTCCCAATGTCCGTCCCGTTTCAAACGTCTCTGAACAATGAGCGGGCCCCACGACACAATGGCGCGTGTCCCCCTGCCGCGCCGCTGACTAATGTCGCCTTTGGGATGTGGCATTCTGTACACACGGCCAAGTGACCAGCGCTAAGTGGGTGTCTGCTGTGACCTGTTACAGGGCGCCGATTTATTTTTTATTTTTTATTCACCGTCTCGCCATTTCACTTTCAATAATGCCACCACAACGCGACCTTTCGCAAACGTCCGTGCAAGTTGAACGCTCCCCCCCTCGTCGTGAACCGGGCCCGTGACGTTTGTTCCACATCGCGGGCTGATGCCGCTGCTGCGACGGCTCGGACAAAAAAAACGACAAGAGGCTGCTGCCCAGGAGTGCAGCTGCGCCAACTCGCACGGCTCCCTTTCCATCCATCCCGCGGGCCGCGAGGGACGTTTGACCGCACTTCACCGCACTGATCGGCATGGGCCGCCTACTGCACCTGTCGTTTGCTCACCAATGCCTCGGGACTATCGAGGCTGAAGCCTGGCTTTGTCTTCCAACAATCTGACGGGACCGGGCACATTCAACGACTTGTTGAAACTTAATTACTTTTGTCACGTGGTGGATGTAGCAGCCTCTAGCGACTGGAGGTGGCGTGAACTCGTTGTTTACGCCGCGGGCAATAAACACAAAAAGACGATGATTCTTCCACGCGCGAGATTTGATGCCTATATATTTGCGCGAGCTAAAAAAAAAAATCGATATTCATCTGCGAATGGACGCGTCGTTGTTTCACCACCGAGGCATCGGGTTGCTGTTTTCTGTGAACGAGCGTAAAGCGAACGAGACAGGACGCTTTCGTCATAAACACATTCGCTCTCGTAATTAATGACATGTTACTTTAACGTAATAACAGGGCTCTTTTACGATTACCGAGGGGAGAGAAGGAGTCGCATTTCAAAAGTTTGACCTTCCCCGGGATATATAGGGAGGGCTTGTAACAGGAATAACAGGATATTTCACTGTCAATTCAACCATGATCACAGCACTACATATCGCAGACGGAGGTCTCCCCGGACCAAACGTTGTCCTCTTACGAAATGTGCTGACCTGCATCGTGGGTCACTGGACGAAGAATCCATTTGGAATGCTCACAAGAGCTGGGAAAATCCCCGTGCGTTAAGATTATGGCCCGAGGAAAGGAGATTTCACAGGACTAGTTCCGAGATTCCCTCCAAGTGAGACTTTTCATTCGTCCGCAGACGAGGTGGCCGCGCTTTCCCCACTCGCCGAGCTCCCAGAGAAATCTTCGCCGCATCGCTGTCGACGTAATGGATTTCTCCAAGTCCTCCGGCTGGAGATTTCAGCAAATTTAATGCGCGAGAAAGAAAACACTGGAGCGTTGCACGTTTGGAATTACACAGAGTGACAGAAAGAGGCGCACACACACACACATAGGAAAACACGTGCGTGTTATTGGCAACATAAAAACTGTCGGGATGAGTGGGCTTTGTGCAGGTCACATCACGAGAAGGGAATGACGGCCAATGGGTCAAGAATCTACTCTCGTCTAATTCTATATTCATAGAGCACCTTAACTCAAGGCGCTTGACGTAGTAAAAAAAAAACCGGTGACAGAATGGAATTATTTAGATGGCAGGGGGCGTGCAAGGTTTGCAGAATGAGTGACCGCGACAGAGGGGGTAACCTGGGGATCACCAAACGTTAGGGGAGGGACGGGAAGGAGTGGATGGGCGATTGGGAGGAAAGAGGAAGAGAATGGGCGACAGAGAAGAGGCGAGCGTTGAGCAGGATCCCGCAGGGTTGCGTGGCCGTCTTGTCGAGAACGGCAGTCAGGTGGGCAGCCACGGAATGGAAGGCACCTTTCACCGGGCTCTCCTTGGCCACACGACACGGGGCCCCCTAAGGGGGGGGGGGGGGGTGATTTTCACCGGCGCGTTTACAACCGCGATCCCGACCGCACCTGCTGGATCGGGCTCTGCGCCTGGAAGAGGATGCGTCGTCCCAGCAGCTCGGCGAAGATGCAGCCCACGGACCAGATGTCGATGGCGTTGGAGTAGTGGCGGCTGCCCATGAGGATCTCGGGGGCGCGGTAGTACTGCGTCACCACCTCCTGCGTCATGTGCCGCGCCTCGTCCGGCTCCTCCAGCCGCGCCAGCCCAAAGTCGCAAATCTGCGTGTGGGGGGGGGGGGGGGCGAACACGCTCGCTGAGGAGGGGCCTGGCACGGGGGGCTCCGACGAGAGGCCTCTCGTGCGAGGCGACGATGCAGGGAACCGCACGCCAAACCGCATCGCGTGGGGCCACCGTGCCAACACCTGGCCCGGGGCTGCGCACGAGGGGACTCGGGAACGCTGCACCCGAGATCAGCCCCCAGCAATGGCGCCCAAACGTAAACATTTCACACTTCCCACACAGGTTTACTATACCCGATGCACTCCATTTGATTTACTATACCTTGACTCAGAGGGCTCAATTCAATAGCCTGTGCGCCACCCCTCCCCTCCCCTTCCCCTAAGCTTTGCAAATAATAATTCGCGTGGGTATCTGCAGAAAGGTGTCCGGAATGTTTACAGGACCATCCCCCAACTCCTTTCCCCTGTGATGGGTTTCTGTGCCTACTTAAGCCCACCTAAAGCCTGTCGCAATGGCGGGGCGGAGGGAAATTTCACCGACGATGAACCGACCGCAATCTCCCCGCTGTAATCAACATGCTCCTACACGCGGAAAGAAAACTCCGCTTGCACCCCCCTCCCTAACCCTTCTACGTTGACAGCGTAGCACAGCGAAGCCCCGGCGGCGCAGGCCAGCCCCACGTGCTCGCAGCGCACGCCTGGAGAAACGCTCCCTGTCATTGAACGTACGCACACAGTACGCTTGGACTCCTTTCGCGCCGTGCATAGCCGAGCGTGCTCGTTGGAGGTGCGGGGGGGGGGGGGGGGAAGGACGACAAACTAAACAAAGAGAGCAATTCTAAAGAAATTAATTTTCAATCTGGGTTTGAAAGTACATCGCTCGAGTGGCTTCCTAATATCGAAAGGAAGAGGCGTTCCAGACGGCCGCGAAAGCACATCTGAAAGCGCACGATGCGGTGACCGTGTTTGTTCGATGGCTAGCCCAAAGGCGCTGCTGCAAGGCTGACCAGAGTTCCAGTGATGGTTTATGCTCCTCGACGAGAACAGCAAGGTGTTGCGGTTCTCATACGGACGACCAAATGGCAGAGTGGCGTGGGGTGCTCATCACTTGGGCGGTTTGCAGGCGGTCAATTCCCCAGAGACTTCAACAGCAGGGCCAGAGTGGCTAATGGATGCTGTCCAAAGTGGATATTAATGGACCCTGTTATCTCATTTGCAGCTCTAAGTCATAATATGTCAACTGGCTGCAAGGTGTCATTCACAACACCTGCATTTTCTTTGTACCGGGGCGTATATCAGAGCTGCCGACTAAAGCGAGAACCGCCACACCCGTAGGAATGTGGAATTTCCACCGCTGGCTCAGGGCCGCCGAACAAGGATGAGCGCCACCGTGGCATGCTCGCTGGGCATGGGGAGAAGAAGTGCTGACCTGGCTATTGCAGACGGCGCACGCGGGACGGTTGTCTAAGTCCGGGGCTGCTGCTCGTAACGGTTTTGGCGACCCGAGAGATTTCACAATCGTCGCGCGGACGGGGACGGCGGCCGGAGGGCCCGGGGGGCTTGACGTTTCAAAACCGCCGTGGCTGCCGGCTTCTCGTGGGCCACGCGCAACCCCGAGCCACAAAGTCGGCCCACGGTCCAAACCCTTAAGCGACCCCGCGCCGGGCCACCTAATCCGGCTGTCAATACGGCATCAGGCTGGAGCCCGGCACGCACACACGGCTTGCGTTCCGACCTCTCGTCTCAGATCAAATCGTCGGTCTCACGGCCGAGCGTCCGTCCCGCACCCCCATCGTCCATGGACGAGAAGGACTCTGGCTGTGCAGCCGAGGTACGGAGTGATATTTCAAAAGATCCACGCCGAGCCCATCGGCGCGAGTCATGGTAACCGGTGCCGGTTAGAAACAGCATCAAGAGGCGAAGGAAGCTACACTTTCATAGATTGCTTTGTTTAAAAAAACATGAATAATAAAAATAACGATTTCAGGCTGTGGGGTGCTCGGGCGAGAGAAAACTGTGTGGGTTTTTTTGACGCCCAGGTAACCACCCCCCCCCTCCCCCACGCCCGAGCGTCTACGCAATGCTCGTTTAACGTGCCGGTGCGTTTGCGCGCCTTGGTGAGCGGGGCGAGCGACGCTCACGGGGCGCGCGGGGCGCAGCGGGCTCGCAACGCCGCGCTGGGCGCACTCACGCCCACGGCGACTCGCGGTATCGCTTCAACAGCCGCGGAAATCGGCGGCGGTGGCGAGCTGGATCGGAACCTGTCCGGCGGGGGGGGGGGGAGGGGGGGGGCTTACTCATTTAAGATGCTTCCGGTGCGTCGTGTGAACATCAACGCTGGCCACGCCGCACTGGCCTTGGATCTGTGCTCGCGAACAGCGCTGGCTTAAGAGTCCGTGCGGCTGCAGCGGGATGTTGGGTTTTTGCCCCCCCCCCCCCCCCCCAAGTCAAAGAGAGTGTCCTCCCGCTGACAGCCCTGAACCACGGGTGGCGCCGCCACAAACTCAAGGGCCAAACGGGGGGGGGGGGTCGTCGCTTTGGTTTATTTGCACGTTGGCCGGGGCATTCGTCTGCCGGTAGGGGGGCGATGAATGGTGTAAGTCCCCAATTGGGAGCGATTTTCAGGTAATTTTCACCCGATCGCAGTGTTTGTTTGCCCGAGCGAAAAGGCACGGGAATCGGCCGCTGCAAATGTGACGTTCAATCTGGAGAACGCCGAGGGCGTTGCGGACTTGGCAACCGCGGCCAAACGGGGTAAAACGTTAACTTTGAGCAGGGTAGGGGGAACATTGGCCACACGTCACCACACACCTCGCAGGCACCACCTCCTGCCATCGCAGCAAGATACCCCCCCCCCCCCCCCCCGTGCAGTGTCGAGCGTTGCCAGGTTGAATGCCGTTGCCCCCTAGTCTCGGGTCAGTGCTGCTGAGAAGCGTGAATCTCGTTTCTGGGGGCCGTTTCAGGGCGAGAAGCCTCCGCGTAGGCAGGTGCCCGTATTTGGTCCGGCGGCCGTGGGTCTCCCACCCCCTGACTGAACGGTGGGAGGGGGATAAAGAAGCAGGCCCCGGTGATGGGAGAGAGCTGTGTGGGCATGACTTGTGCCCTCAGTGGCCCCTCACCTTGAGAACGCAGTTGCTGTTCACCAGGAGGTTCCCCGGCTTGATGTCCCTGTGCAGGATGCCTGCCGAGTGCAGGTACTTCAGACCTGCAGTGCATTCCCAGGCATGTTGGTGCGGGGGGGGGGATGGGGGGAAGAATAGCAGGGAGTAAGTGAGGGTGGCCGCGAGAGGTCAGAGAAGGAGGAGGCAATGGAGGGCGAGGGGTCAAACAGAATTGTTAACGTCTCTAATATAAAGAAATGCAACGAAACGAGGGGAGTCCCAGAAAGAATAGACGCAGGCAGAGGATGAACGCTACCCTCGTCAGCTCGGGTACGGGGGGGGGGGGGAAACAGAACCGTATTCACGCCACGTGGAAAAGGATGGCAACGGGAGGGAACAGCGGGGGAGGGTGATGAGGGGAAAGCGAATGACCACGGTGTGACTGCACGTGCCACATCACGCACGGGGTGGAAGCCGTCTCAGCTCGAGGGATTCAGCGAGCAAGAGAGACCAGTGGAAAGACCACTGCATGGAGATACTGAAGGAAATGGTCTTGGCCCGATGGCCCAAAAGAAACCACATTGACTAAGAGGAACCAATGACAATGAACGCAAGCAAGGACTTCCGCCGATGGCTCCGTTACACTTTGATATCAAAAGAAGGGGGGGTGGGGGGGGAATGACCGGGTCGCGGGGGAACTCCTCCCCGCCGGCTTGGTGTGAAACCGCTCGGCACAAAAGGGTCGGCACAAACCGGCTCGGCACAAATGGGTCGGCACAAACCGCCACGGTGATAACCGAGCTGGCCAGGGAAGCTGTGCGGCCAAACCCAGACGCATATCACAATCTCGTAGTGGCTACAAATTTCGTCGCGGTACATGTTAGTAAAAATTCACAGCCGAGTTGTGGAGGTGGGGGAGGAGGGGAGTGGAATGATAATAATTAAACTTGTTCCAAGCCTCATTTAAAAGTAAAAAGAAACGAACCAAGAGGCTTCTTGAATTAAGTTATTCCGTGCATTTTAAAAAAAAAGTTTAATTGAGACTATACGAATATCTTTGAGTTGATTCTGATAGAGGTCAGACGTTTTGCCCTCCCGCCACGCTGCGTGAACACCTCCCACGCCGAGCGCCAGGCATACGGCACTTTGAAAAGCGAATAACAGAAGCGCAAAAATAAAAACTGGCTTCAACGGCCATTTCCAAGCCTTTGCAGATGATTTATTATTATACTCCACTTAATCGTGACTCACGCAGGGCAGGTTAAAATGGTGTACGGTCGGGAGATCATCTGCCGCAGCGAGGCCACGCCGATGATCGCCATCGGCCGCGGGGGCTCTGTTGGCTGCAGGGCGGTGGGGCGCGTGGGGGGAGGGGCGTGTGTGGGGGGGGGGGGGGAGGCCTTACCGCGCAGGATCTGGTAGAGGAAGACCTTGACGTGGTCCGAGCTGAGCGGCTGTGGGGAGACGATGATCTTGTGGAGGTCGCTCTGCATCAGCTCCGTCACCACGTAACTGAGCCAGCGCAGCCCGGGGTCAAGGGCACCAACCGAGGTCTCCAGCGCGTGAGGCCGTGTCACTCGAATCGTCCCGCATCTCGTCGGTCACGCTATTTATACTTTTTGCTGCGCCGCACACATATTGAGACGCACTTCAGCTACCTAGACAGCTACCCCCCCCCCCAACCCCCACCAGCCGCTGCCTCTGTGCGACGCACGGCGAACACAGCACCGGCCTGCAAGCGGGCCGAGTCTGCCACCCGCAGCGAGAAATGTTGCCGTGTGGCTTTTCCACCCCACCCCCCCCCCCCCCCCCCAAATTTGAAAATTTTGAGACGCGAGGCCGACAACGTATCGCCGAATACTTTTTACGAAGAAGGTCGCGGAATCTTTCTTGTTTGTGTAACGGCACCCACCGTGCGGGCACGATTAATCGTGCAGGCCGAGCGCAGTATTAACCAGGGGGGGGTGGGGGGGAGGGGGGGGAGGAGCCGCCGGACTCGAAACCGCGAGAGAACCTCTGCGATGAGTGGCGGCCGCACCGCTGCCGCCGCTGCCGCCACTGCTGCAGCTCGCCCACGTTACCCTCCACCCCGTCCCCACCGCGGTGAGAAAAAAATCGAAAACCCGTGTCAACGCGGTTCGAGGTTACGACCACGCACAACACAGGACCGCACGACAACGTGGTTTTGCGATTCCGCGGCTCGCTCCCTTTGCTCGTGTTTGGAGCATGTTTGTATATTTGTTGAGAAAGGGGGGGGGGGGGGGGAACCGGCCGCTGCGCAGACACGGCCGGCCCCGCGTGCAGCGCCAGCAGCAGCAGCAGCAGCAGCAGCAGCAGCAGCGGCATCCCCACTAATTTATATTCAGTACTGAAAGAAAGCCTCCTCAGAGCGATGTCAATGAGGTCTATTATGCATGCACAACCCCTGTGCATGCAATACAATGCACACAGCTTAAGAGTTTAAACACACACACACACAACAGCATTAACACAGACACGTACGGCAAGGCGGGGGGGGGGGCTGTTGGCATCACGAAATATAAATGTACGGTACACGCGCGCGCTCCAATAGCTTGACCCTCTGCGTGCATGCAGTAACACGCGTGCCAACAGACGCGTCGACAAATACAACGGTCGGCGTTTTTAAGCCTCGACCGACCATTTGGGTGAGCGCCCAAGACGGAAAAACGTGGCCAATCGTGGGGCAATTATCAAACCCAGCCACCGTGCGTCTCCCTTCTACACATATGCTGACACGCACTCCCACCACCTGCTCATTTTAGGCTCAGCTGACCTAGGGGAGAACCATGCCAGATTTAGATTCTGAACCTCCACCGATTGGCACATGGTCAAGAATCAGAGAGGGTGCAGCCGGGACCATATAGCATCGTTAACGGAAAAACGGAATGAACGCTGCGCGTATACTTTACCTGCCCTATAAACTCCCTCGGGGGCCAGCGTGGTGAGCGAGCAAATCGTAAAATCTTAACGGGTGGCATGGGACTAGGGGATGGGCAGGGGGACGCTCTGGCCAGCACCACCCCAGCGGCGAGTTTCCGCACCACCGCAGGTACTCGACTCCGTTTAAGGCCGAGTCGACCCAGGGGAGGGCTCTGCCGGAATTTAGAACTCGGATAGCTTGGAGGTGTAACGCAGCGCGCGGGCCACTGTGCTATCGTTGGACGCGCGAGCCCAATGCCACCTCGCGCCATTTTTTTGAACGCGCTATTATACAGGGTGTCCCATACGTCTGGAATCGTAGGAAAAACATAGCTCCGTGTTATTGGCTCGCCGTCTGGATGCAGACCGTTAAATTCAACAGCGACCTCCCTCTGACTCCGATTTCCTACGAGTAGCATTATCTCGGACTCGTTCTTCCTTACTAAGAGATATCTTGGGCCTGGAGAAACAAACAAAAATACGAATTAGTTATTTTTTCCCGACGATTCCAGACTTATGGGCCACCCTGCAGTCTTACTTTTGCTTTGCACCTACGGTTTGTTGTAACAAACCGCAAGGGGCGCTGTGTCCACCACATGATGCGAGCTTCACGATTCATTAACTTCAACGCATGCCCTGCACTGCCTACAGAAATGGTCCTCAGACAGGCGCCAGAGTAAAAGAGCCGAGTGCATGATGCCACAACGCTTGTTGATTTCCCAAAGACTGCACTGCACAGCTTCGTTATCGACCAAGTGTTCGCGGCGAAGGGCAGCAAGATGCCAGCAGATGGCAGAACAGTGATGCATGCAGTCCACACGATAGATTTGGTCCATTCAATGAATTGAGTCTGTGGACTGACTATCTGCGTGGGGGCTCTGAGCATTAGTATTTCACGAGAGCGGGAAATACTAATCAATCATTATCCAAACCGGAGCCGCGAAATCCCAGTCCAGGTCCCTCCTGAAAGCCGTCTTGTGGATCAGCGAGGCGTTTCTGGTGAACCGGCACGATCGCTATGTCGCGAATACTACCAGTGAACGTATGCGGTCCGTTAAAAGTAACTGGTCCAGCTGAGGCAAGTGCTCCGCTCACACCACTGCTAATGCTCGAGTGAGCTCTAGGAGAGGCCCTCTATGAGAGGGTCACATCTGGCCTACTCTTCCGCACCGCTCGCACGTCTTGGAAGAGGCGGGATTACCTCCACCTGAACCCTGCCGCACACGGCCGACCGATCGCCCAGCTGTGTCGCACCCACGGTCAGGCCACTCAACAGAGTGAATACACCGCTGAGCGGATAAGTGAGATGGGGGGCTGCCCGGTGCTTCAACTGCCGCGCCGGGAGAACAGGTCCAACTGGCCAACCTCGAGAATGCCAGATCTGTACACCCGGTGTGCCGTCCGCTTCGCCACGGCAACGCGCACCGCGCTGGAAGAGCGCGCTTTCAAGACGGCGAAATTTGCGCCGCGCAGCAAATGAAATACCGTGATACAAAACGGTGCAGAGAGCTGAACAAGCTCCACCTGGTGCCATCCGCCCCCTGCCGCCCCCCCCGCCTTGTGAGACTGAACTGAGCTCATGCTCTCTACTCATTGCCCTCCATCAAAGTTCACACCCGGTACAAGCCGAGCACAATTTGCACACTCGTGCACAGGTGCGTTGGGGATGCAGGACGAGGCCGTCAGTAGCACGTGGGGTGCCCGCAGTGAATTCGGCCCGGTCGGCTTCCCCTTCCACCGCGACAAAGTTTTTTAGAAGCCTCAAATTAAAAACACATGAATTTTTTATACTCACGCCAGCTTGTGTTAGCACAGAGTCGTGAGAAACGGAAGCGGCTTAGGCGGACCTTCAACTAGCAGTGGATTGACCATGGCTTGCGATGACGATCAGTTTGGTGTTTCCACATCGGAGGTTTTTTTTTTTTCACTTAAAATCTTGTTCACGTAAAAAAAAAACGTTCGTACATCAATTCAAAACTGTTCAGTTATAAATGCTTTAAAGACGACCACAGAGCAAAGTGAAAATTCCAATCTCTCCTTTCCTACTCTCGCTCTCGCTCTGCACGTCGGCGCGACGTTCGACGTTTCGCCCCGCTAGCTCGAATGACGTGAAGAGGCTCCCAGGACGTGGACCGGAAGAAGGTGAGAAACATCGCGGCGAAAAGCACCACCCCCCCCCCCCCCCCCCCCGGAAAGTGCGCGCGGGAAACGGGAGGTGGGAAGAGGTGTGACGAGGTAATGACGGGAGGAGGGAAGCGATTGGATGGACAGAAACGGGAGAGAGAGAGAGGAAGCGCGGCAAGGAGGAGAGGGGAAGGCTCGGGGCGCTTTTGACGGTGGAAGGTGACGTGAACGCACGCTGCAGAAGACAATGAAATCTCCTCGCGCCTTTTCCTACAACCCACGTACGTGTTTCTGGGTTGTCCTCAGGAGACAATGACCCAAGCGTTCCCCCCGACACAACCTCGTCAACACGTGCGTGGCGCCGAGCGGTGCTGTGCATTCAGTGCGGCGTAAACATGAAAAAAAATTAATCGAGGCACTCGAACTGAAGCACGACCGACAGCCGAGGTCCTCTCCCCTTCCACTTTAGCCCGATAAATATTATAAACGTTACAGCGAGAACTTACCAGCTTTTCTTATAATATGGCATACGGTACGCGGAAACATCCAGCCTGCCACGGGGCAATAACTTGCATTATTAAATAAAGACTGAGCAAAGAACTAAGAGCAAAGACGGCGAGCGTGGCGCTTTCTGTTCGTGCGAGTCGATCAGGGACACTTCGTGATGACGACAGCCGAGCATCGCATAGCATCCCCATCAACGTATCCATTCGTTCCAAGGCGACCCCCCTCCACTCCCACCCCCCATCACGCGGTGCGTTGTGAATCCGGCCGCGCGCGACACTGCATGCGCCGGGGACTGCGTCGCGATGTTACCGACAGCGGGGGCCACACCGCACAACGTTTACCACGACCACGGACGGATGTTGAATCCTCAGCTGTGCGTCCTGTGGCGGCGGGGGGGGGGGGGGTGGGCGGGCGAGGGTAAAACAACATCCCGGCCGATCGGCGAGGTCAGCGCAATCGTCTCAGGAAACATTCCTCCAAAGCATAAATCAAACAGCTCACTGTGCACTTGAGAAGCGACTCCTTCCTCCTTCACGAAGAATAAAAACTAATTTGCTTGTAGGTACGTATGCGTGTAGAACTTCTTTCGCATCGTACGTGGACCAACCGTGCTAATCGGAGGTACGGGGGCGGGCGGGGGGTAGAACGACGCACAGAAAACTCGAGGGTTATGTAGTTAAAATTATAATTGTGATTTAAAATGTTTAAAAAGAAAAGGAGGGGAAAGGTGCTGAGCTGCAATTGCCTGCTCACACCACTGCTGGCACAAGGGTCGCCACTAGAGGGAGCTCTAAGAGAGCGCCTCTGCAGGGTACTTGGCCTACTCTTCCACACCGACCAATGAAGAGGTGGCCTGGTGGGGGTCGGGAGGTGGACTTGAAAACAATCCCCATTGTTTCAACTGCGATGGCCGGAAGTTGGAATTGAACCGATGACCTCTG